TGTCTATCTCTGTCGCTGTCTCTGTGTGTCTGTGCAACTCTTTGCTGCGCATGTGTACCTTTTACCCCTTGCTCGTCTGTTTACATTCACCATATCATTCCAAATCAAATAGGCTAAGAATACACTCCACGTAACTCTCCTTCATTAATACAGCCATCTCAACCGAAGGATCGGGTGGCAACGCAGAGCAAGTAACCATAGCAACGCTCCGAAAGACTATCGCCGACCGAGAAGAATCTATAAATAGTGTGCAGCGAACGGTGGAGGAATTGCGCGCCAAAACTCGCAGATTGGAACACGCTGCTACTAGCGGAGGTATGTATTGTCGATTCCTACTGTCCATACATGCATATATATGAGTGCTATAGGAGTTTTGCCAAGAATATATGGCTTCATCCGTGCTTGTATGTGTTCTGATCCACTCTTTCTATATACTATGTGCATGTATATATATATATATATAGAATTATATATATATATATATATATGTATATACTTATATATATATATATATATTATATATATATATATACATTTATATATATATAAATACATATATACGTACAGTCACATACGTATCTATTCACTCATATGTAAGTGTAGCATACACCTTTGTCTCCCCAAAACTAACCTGCCCACACACTCGTCTCTGATAAGGGAGTGATTCCGATGGGCAAATGGCCATTCTCACCCAACGCAACGACACTTTGGAGTCAGTGAACAGAGGCATGCAGAAGGAGTTGGACAAGAACCAAGTATCTCTGCTTGATTTGCGAGCTCAGGTGTGTACGTGCTTCTTCTTTTACCATGTACGTGAGTATTGGTGTGCCTGTGTTTGTATGTATATGTACCTGTGTACTAGTTTGCGTGTGTGTGCAGTGTGTGTTGCAATGACTCGCCAGGATTAGTCAATGAGGACCTTCATAAGCACAGGATTGCGCTTTAAAGTTTGGAGGCTCGGGTTTGCGCTTTTTTCTGCTTGCGACATACATGTATGTGTACGTATATGTATACGTGTTTGTATACGTGTATGTGTATGTGTTTGTATACGTATATGTGTATGTATACGTGTACGTGTATGTGTATGTGTTTGTATACGTATATGTGTATGTATACGTGTACGTGTATGTATACGTATATGTGTATGTGTATGTATGCTTGTATGTGTATGTATATGTGTATGTGTCTGTGTACGTATGTGTGTATGTGTACGTATATGTGTATGTGTATGTATACATGTATGTGTATGTATACGTGTATGTGATGTATATATGTACCTTAACATGTCAAGAGTACGTGTGTTGAAATATATTTGTGTATGTATATCTCTCTGCCTTTGCATTTGCGTAACGGATTTTTGAGCCCAATAAAAACGGTTGACCTCATCGTACAATCGTACAAGTCAGTTGTTTGGAGTTTAGGTGTGTCTTCATTTTTTGACGTTTATGACATTGAAATCACATAATAAGTAGGTAAAAAAGTGTGCTATCATCGTGGTCGGGTGCTAGATCCTCTACTCGATCATCTTAGCTTTCAGCTCCCAGCTGAAGATTCTACCTGTACATAAGATATATATATATATATATACATATATATATATATGTATTTATGTATTTATATATATTTATATATATGTATGTATAAACTGATATATATATATATATTATTATATATTGTATATTGTATATCGTGATGTTGCGATGTTGTGATGTTGATATATACGTATTTATATTTATTTATTTATATATATGTGTGTGTGTTTGTGTGTGTGTGTGTGTGTGTGTATTTGTGTATTCGTAAAATATGACAAGTACTCATCTGTTGTTTTTTTGTTTGCAGCTGCGTGAGCGTGAAGCACAATTGGAACAAGAATTGAGGAGCCACTCCGTGAAGATGTCCGCTATGGAAACTCGGTTGCGATCAATGCAACGCTTGGGCAAGGGACAGGTATGTCGTCTGCCGCATAGTATATATATAGACGCACCGTCTATGAGTATGTACCGAAAGTGATAAATGGTTGTATCAATTTGTATGTAGATACTCGTATATATATATATATATATATATATATAAGGTGTTGCTCTCCT